CCATTTTATTGGATTTGAATTTGTTGAAGATCAAAAGAGAGAGCGAGAGATAGAGAGAGAGAAGATAGCTAATGTGAGTAGAGAGGAGAGTATTTGACGTGTGTAAATATTATATATTGTTGCTTGTTTTTAGATTAGTGAACATTTATCCCTCAGTACAACCATTAATGGAAATTGATCTAATGTAACTCCCCTGTCTTTTTTTTCTCCTAATGTGTTTCTTTGCGGGCTTTATTATTCCCTCGGTATATTGTATCTTAGAACATCTCCAATGGAATGACAAACAACTGTTTGCCGTTCTTTGGTCGCTCCAACCGAGCGGCAATTCTTACGACATTTCATCGCGAATGAACAGTGCGACGCCAATATTGACGTTGCACTGTTCATCTTCGTCATTTTTTGGTCTCTACTGAACTTGCCAAAGAAACGTGCGAACGACCATTACAGGGTATAATGGCGTTCGATTGGAGATGAATCACGGCATTTTTTAGTTTCACGGTATTTTGGAGTGAATAATGAGATTTTTGGTTTGGAGATGCCCTTATATGCTCCTAATGTACTTTTCCCAAGAGGATGAGGTCTTAGGAATCATATGATGTGATTTTGGCTTTAATTTTAATTTTTTTTTGAGATGTAGGATTAGCTAAATTGAAGAACTATTCTTGGAGATGATATTGATTATTTGAACTTATGGTTGCTTTTATGAGCAGCGTTCAACCAATGGATCAGAGCGAGGTCTTAAAACTAGAAGATCCTGGAGAAGAGGAGGAATTAGAAGATGTATTTGTTTTAACTGATGAATGGAGGGAATTCTTTGCAAAATCTGAGGCTAAAAGGAGGATGGGTGAATTTTTTTTGTCCTTTATTTATATAATTTCATAGTTTGGGGAGAAAACCTATTCGATTAATAATGCTTGGATCATACATGATGCTTAAACTGTCTTTTGCTGTCTTCATATGCAGATAAACAGAAGAAGAACGAACACAGGAAGTGAGGTGCTCAATTGCCATTGTCTAATTTGAGCACATAAATTACAATGTTGGCAAAACGAAAAAAGTTTTTTTTTTTAATAACCAGTAAATTTTTTTAAGCCTTTTTTAGGGACCTATAGCCATACTTTGACTTGGATTGTGTTGATTGGTTCTTTTTATTTATGAGACAAGATCTTGAACATGTGGCTCTTGTATGTCCATACATGATACATGCCCATATAGATAACTCACCGATACTAAATAAATTCATCACCGCGGAGCTCCGTCAAGAGATGTGCTCCACCAGAACGAGCCTCCCCTGTGGAGCATCTACCGGAGCATGGCTAGAGACAAGCAAAAACCCGCCCCAATGAAATTTGTATTATTAGAGCTCGACCCTGTGGAGCTCAATCAAGGATGCAAATACATAGAAGAACAAGTTTGGATCAGAGAATTCGCCTAAGCAAGCTTTCACCTGAAGAGGTAATTGCCTTATGAGGACTAACTCCTTCATTAGTTTTCCCTATCTAAGCCTATGCTTCTTCCTCGTATATCCTCGTCCTAACTACAATAGTACAAACCTATTGAGCTTACTATCATTGCTCGACCAACTATGTTCTTCCCTAGTTCACAGTCACGTTAGCTCATAAGACTCGTTCCCTATGTAGAGGGCTTCATCATGTTTTGGGGCACTTGCCTTAATGGATTGGCTTAGAAGCCCATCTTGGAGGATCCAATCAAGACATTTGCTCCTAATGACTCACTCAGGGTGCTCATCAAAGGCATTTCGAGCCACGTTAAAGTTAGATGAGTTTGTGTATACTTTTCAGCCTAGTCCACCTATCTGTGTCAATCTATATTTGTCAAATCATGTATTATTTTTTTATTTTTTTCTAGGTATTATTGATGGAAGCCCTCTTGAAAGCATTAGTAATGCATAATGAGAAGTTTTATTAGTGGTATTAGTACACAAACATATATAAATATTGTATTATCTTAATTAATGCTGAGTTGGCACTTAACTATTGACTCATATGTAATAAGGCCAT